TTGGCAACATCTGCAAACTGGGATCTTTAATTGTTCACTCCCTCCTCTAAACTTGCTGAATAAAATCACTGAAGGACTTCCAGTACTGAAATTCTTCCTCCTCCTGAGAAATGCTCAAGTCTTAACCCTTCACTTCCTATCCTTCTCACTTCATAAAAGAATCCCTTTATGTAGCTCTGGAACCAACATGTCTTTTTAAGTTGTACTCATGTATTTCTCTATGCAAGAAAATACTTTTATCAAAGGAGCACCACAAGTTCCATGCAGAGATGGGAAAAACAATGACAGTTTATTTTCTTCACCACTGTATTGGGCTTACATGGCAAGGCTTACTTAGCAGGGGGGCTACAGGGGTGGCTTCTGTGAGAAAATGCTAGAAGCTTCCATTATGTCCAATAGAGCCAGCCATCTCCAAGGTGGACCCACTGCTGGGCAAGGCTGAAGCCCATCAGTGACAGGGGAAGCACCTCTCCAAAAATTTAAGAAGAGGCAAAACTTCTACGCAGCAGCAGCCAGAGAGGGGAGTGAGAATACGCAAGAGAAACAACTCTGCAGACAACAGTCAGTGAAAGAGGAGGAAGACGTGCTCCAGGTGCCAAAGCAGAGATTATCCTGCAGCCCATGATGAGGACTATGTTGTTATAAGCAAAAAACAAGTGTGGATCAGGGACAAGGCACAACACTCGGCAAGTGAAAGCTTTGGCTTTTTGGAAGGCATAGTGTTACGGTGGTGAGAGCCCTGGGATACCAACACTACCCAAGTGGGGACCAGATGCAGTAGAGCCCTGCTTGGGAGAGGAAGACACCACAGGGGTGGATAATAAAACTTAACAGACCATACACATGTAATGTCCTATTTTTGCTTATTAGCAAACTTGCTGATGTAATGCAGGTACTATTGTCCAGATTCTGAGATCTGCAGCTGGCCTTCATGTTGGCATCTGTGCAGCATATGTGGAGATGCAGGAAAAGTTAACTACCCCAAGGAGATAAGGTGTGCTTGGGACTCTACATATGGACTACCATAACAAAGTCTTCTCATTCCTTACACATGGTGACACAGGTTGTCTCCCTGTTGCCCATGCAGCTCCACAGTATAACAGATGCCCACCTTGCAGAGGACCCATGTCAAAGAAGGCTGTAATCCCATAGAAAGCCCATGCTGGAGCTTGTGACCCCGTGGAGCTGAAGCAGGTTGCTGGCAGGACTTGTGAACCCATGGGAGACCCACACTGCAGCAGTTTGTTCCTGAAAGATTGCACCCTGTGGCCCGGACCCACACTGGAGCAGTTCATGCCGGACTGTCTCCCATGGGAGGGGACCCCGTGCTGGAGCCGGTGAAGAATGTGAGGAGGAAGGAGCAGCAGAGACAACCTGTGATGAGCAGACCACAACCTCTGTTCCCCATCGCCCTGTGCTGCTCAGTGTGAAGAAGTAGAGAAACTGAGAGTGAAGTTGAGCTTGGGATGTAGGGAACAGTGGGGGAAATGTGTCTGAAAATTTGTTCTTATGTCTTACTATCTTACTCTGATTTGATTGTCAATAAATTAAATTAAGTTCTCCAATTCTGTTTGTCTGTGATGGTAGTTGCTGAGTGATCCACCTGTCTGTGTCTCAACCCACATACCTTTCATCATATATTTTTTCCTTCCTGCCCAGCTGAGGAGGTGGAGTGACAGAGCAGCCTGGTGGAACCTTGGTGGCTAGCCAGGGTCAACCCACCACAACCATCCAAGTGATAGCTAAATCTCTCACAGTTGCACCCCTTCCAAAGGGAAATAAAAATGCAGTTCCTGCAGTTCCTTCCTGAAGCATACATTTCTTGTCTAGTAGTGTGTATTGGGTTTGCCTGCCTGGATTTTGGCAGCATGTGGGGCTGTAGGGGTGGCTTCTGCAAGAAGCTGCTAGAAGCTTCCCCTGAGCCAATAGCCGTCTCCAATGGGGGTTCTGCCACTGGCCAAGGCTGAGCCTATCAGTAAAGTGACAGGAGAGGAACGCCTCTGTGAAAACATACCTAAGAAACGGGGAACAAGGACTGCACCACGTAACAGCTGGCAGAGAGATGGAGGAATGAGAATATGTGAAGACACCAAGGTCAGTGAAGAAGGAGAGGGGAGGATGTGCTCCAGGCGCCAAAGGAGGGAGTCCCCCGGGTCACCGCAGGGTGGAGGACCCCATGCCAAGTAGGTGGTGCCTGAAGGGGGCTGTGGCCCGTGAGAAGCCCATGCTGGAGCAGGTTGCTGCCAGAACCTGTAGCCCATGGAGAGAGGGAAGCCCACACTGGAGCAGGTTGGCTGGTGGGACTTTTGTGATGCCACCGGTGACTTGCGCTGGAGCGGTTTTCCCTGAAGGACTGCACCCCAGACTCACAAGGGGTGGATTGCCCCTCATGAGGTGTCTCATGCTGGGCAGTTTGTGACAAATTGCCCCTTGTGAGAAGACTCACACCAGAGAAGAGAGTGTGGAGCTTATCTCCTATGAGAGGGACCCCACAATGGCCCTGGGGAAGTGTGAAGAGTCCTCCTCTGGAGTGAAGAAGCAGTGGAACCAACATTGGATGAACTGACCGTAACGTGCATTCTCTGTCCCCCTGTGCCACTTGGGAGGAGGAGGTGGAGAAACCGGAATTGATTTTGAGCCCAGGAAGACGGGAGGGATGAGGGGAACGTGTTACTTCTTCTTTTAAGATCTGGGGTCTTTTATTTCTCACTGCTCTTCTCTGATTTGTTCTTTTAATAAATCTAACTGATTTCCCCAAAATTGAGTCTGTTTTGCCTGAGATTGCAAATGAAAGTGATCTCCCTGTCCTTATCTCAAACCTTAAGCCCTTCGATATATTTTCTCCCTCTGTTGAGCAGAGAAGGGGAGGTGAGAGTCCAGCTGTGTGGGCACCTGGCCACCAGCCAGGGTCAAACCACGACATAGCGCTATCCCAGTCCTTGATCTCTACACAATACGTGCAGTTAATCTCATTAGCAATGCATCTGCATTTTCTCTGACATCTTGTTTCCCCATCATTTTTCAACAACTTGACTTCTCTCCACGTTTGTTTAGATTATTTTAAATATCCACTCCCAACTGCTCCAACCAATACACCAGTGTCCTGGGTTTGAGTCTGGTGGAGTTTTTTCCTAAAGCGGGAGTAGACTCATGTGAAAGTTCAAGAGCCTACTCCACCCCCAGTTAGGACTTGGACCTGCCTCTGGCCAGGGCCAGGCCAATCAAGGTATTTAAGAGATGACCCCATTATTCTATCTCTCCCTTGTTTTTGTCTTGTTTTGGGCTGTTCTGTCCTTAATGTTGGGGAGTTTTCCTGTTTGAGGAGGGGGAGGTGGGAGGAGAATGAAGGAACATTACCCTGAGAAGAAAGAGGGGGAGAAGAGTCCCAGAGGAAAAGGAAAGGGAGAAGGCTGCCAAAGCAGGACCTTTACCTGAAGCCTTTCGTGGCAGAGATGGCAGGAAGGTGATTGCCTGCCAGCTGAGGCGACTGACGGCAGCGAGAACATCCACGATGCTTCAGAATGTGCAGAGCCCCATACCAGAGGGGAGAGCGACTGAGCCCAAATCAATCCATGGCCCTGAGGGACTCCAGAGGAGAAAGAGGATTGCCTCCTGTCAGGTGGCCACCACACAGCAGGAAGGAAAGACTGCAAGGAGCCCTCTTCCTCAAGGAGGAGCTGCCATGGACTATGAGTAATGGCCAGATAGACTGCACCCCCCACCCCCCTTGCACTGATAGGAGGGAAGGAGGTAGTCAGGAGGAGAGGGGAGGGGGGCGAAGGCAAAGTGTATTTAAGATGTATTGATGTATTCCTCTGTCTATCCTACCTCATAAATGGTGGTAGTGAATTAAATCTGGTTTTCTCCTAAAGTCGCTCTGGTTCTTTACCCGTCATCTTAAGTGGTAGATTATTACCCTCCCTATCCTTAACCTCAAACCCTCAAGCCTTTTCAGTTGAATTTTCTCTCTCCACATCACTGTGGAAATGAGGGTGGGGGGAGGAGTGAGCTGGAGACCTCGTGGGTTTTTTTTTGTCCCAGTCAGCTTGAACTACAACAACAACATAAATATTACTTGACAGAAACCACATAGATATTAAGCAACTTCAGTTATAATGTATTCAATAATAGCTTCAGTTGAATAAGCAGTGTAACAGCTTAAACAATCTTAACTGTTGCTACATCATATAGCTAGTTCCTCTAACCATGTTTCAGTGATTAGAAGCTCATAAAAACAGGGATAATCACCATCATTCTTACATGAACATTTCAAATGACATTCACCCATATTGCTTATTAATCCATCAGAAATGCATCTTTAGAGTTTAATTTTGTACACAAAAATATGTTTATATTCTTTAAAGATGTACACATTCAATCACATTTAAAGATCAGCCAAAGCATGACTAATTAAAGGAATTCTAAAGAATAATGCACTTTTGATAGTACTCAACAGTATCTGAGGGTTACAGAATTAATAGTCTCTACAAATCCACTTACGTTCTTATGAACTAGTATTACAGTCATACACATAACATTTGCTCAGCTGGTTGGTTCGCCAAGCCTGAGAGTTCTGGGGTTTTCAATCATATAGAACCCAAGCTTCCTACATTATCATGCCATGATCTGCTGATCTAAAACAAAAATAAAAAGTATATATTTAACCTGTAGTGTCATTTTTCTGTTTGCACATGACATTACTGTATATTAGAAACTAACAGCAGCAACGCATCTGCTTTCATTGGCTTTGCCCGATATTCCCCCCATCCCACCTTTTTATTATTATTTTACCATCAGGTAACAGTGCATTCACCTATTATTTCAGAACATCGAATTTCAAGGAACTTAAAGCTAGAGAAATGGACAAACATGTATAAGGACTGTAGTAGATAAGGAGATGTGGATCTATACAATCCTTGCAGTATATTAATATAAAAGGATTATCTTCTTGTTAACTCAGAACAAGATAAACAGATTAAATTTTTAGTAACATTACTTACTTGCTTCCCTCAGCTTTTTTAATTCCTGTATTATATCGCTATACACAAAAGATAAAAGCTCCTCTTGGGGTTTTGTTCCATCCAGATAAACTATGAAAGAAAAAGTTTCCATGAGTTCTATGCCACTTATATCTAATAGCAATTGCCAAGTTTTCAGTAGTCCTCTGGGTCTATCAGAAGAAATGAAAACAATTCAAACTAGCAACAGTACCTCCCTATTCTTTCCCAAAATAATTTTATGTGTTAAAAAAAATAACATAATGGGAAAGTATTCTAGTTAAGAATTAATTTACAGTTTTTTGCTGTGTAAAATCTCCATTACAGTTGCGGTAATAGTGTGAGGAAAGTAGAGCAATGGAATAATTTCACAAAAAGGTTCCTATACAGTAGAAGACCTCAGGTTCTTCCTCAGCTTCAGGTTTAGTAAGTCAAAGATGGGTACTAAGATTTCTATTCTCACTGCACAGTAAGAAGCCATGTGCTGATGAAGCAGACACCCGACTTCTCCGCCCTCTGGCCCCCACTCCAGAAACAGGCAGTCCAAGAGCTGTAAAAGTGTGAACATCGCAAAAGCTCATGGCAGTGCCCCATCAGCTGGCTCAGCTTTTACATTCCTCATGCAAGGCTGGTGACTGTAGTTTGTACAGTCAGGCCCTAGGAAGTATCTTCAGTTTATCATAGGATTTCAGTCAGAATTTCACTGCTGTTCTGAAGAATTCTGCCAGTGCATCAGCTATCATGTCAAAAGCTTCCTACATAGCCACACACACCTGTGCACACATGCACAAACAAACTAGCTTGTCAAATGGACTAAATTAGTGATCAGAAGATTTACATTTAACTTCCTAATTTTCATTATTAATAAAAAAACAATTACACTGTAGACTTGAGAAATCAGTCAACAAAGGGTCCAAACCTGCTGTCCAAGTGCCACAAGAACATTCGAAGAAAACTTTATCCCATTCATAAAAGACTCCCACAACCCAATAAAATCTACACAGGTGCCACACTTAAGCATTTTTATAAGTTTAAAATTAAGGATACCATACCAACATTACTTGCTTTTTCTTCCAGTTCGTTTTTATATTTCAGATACATAGGCCACACGTGTCCATCGAAGTACCCTGGTGTATCTGCTGGCTGATAGACTCTGGTGCTACACAAAAATATATTTGCTTTCCCATACAAGTTTTACAATTTTTCCTAGTGTCAGCTAGTTTAATAGGAATTTCTATCAAAAAAAAATAACCCAAACAACTGGCACACCGCTGGGGCAAAGGAGGCTCCTTTGTTTTAATATAATCTGTGATATGAACTCTGGCTAATTTACCTATTTCTGCCAATCAAATTACATTTAAGATAAGATAAAATTATATTGGAAGTGTTACCAAAACAAATGCTTTTTGTCCATTTTTTAAAGATTTCTCAAGTTTTTTTTAAATGGCTGTCAGCTTTGTCTAGTCACTTTTAGCCTGGACACTAAAGTCCTTTAAAGGTGAAAGTGGAATCAACTAAAGCCAGCTGAACAAAGTACTTCTTCACTCAGCCAGCAGATTTTGCAATCTGACACACATATTGCTCCAAGCCCACCATACTGCTCCAAATTTGGAGGCAAGTTAGACACTGGCTCAATAATCTAAATCAGATACACAGTTCAACTAAAACTGTCTAAGCAAAGAATACACTAAAACCACACAAGTGTTGTTACTTTAACAATAATCATCATGTAGCAGTATTCAACCAAGGATAAGATTGCGCAGTACTTTTTTTAACTGTTTCTCATTTTAAGCATAGTTTAACTCCAATATGCAGTCAATAATCTAAATAATTTATCTGGATAACAAATTCTCTTTCCAGTGTTTGTAAAACCTTTAACACTTAATAACCTTGTGCTCTAAAATGCAAAAAAAACCCACCCAGACATAACAAAAAAACAACAAAAAACCCACACTCCAAAAAAAACCCCACCCTACATCTGCATGCTTTTGTTAGTGTTGATTAAACACCCACAGGCTTCCCTTGGAATCTTGGTGATGATCTTATTATGTTACATCTGGCTAACACCAAAGAAAAGCTAGTATTCCACGTTAGGGGGTAGAGTGACCGTCTGTGAAAAATAACTGAATAATCTTACCTTCTTCTCCTTTTGCACTCTTCATAAGGAAGGGTCAAAAAATATCTTCTATTCCATAGTTCATTAAGAGGCCTAAGATAACAACATATTTAGTTCTCTCTTCCTTTTCAGGGCAGCTATTAATATACCAGGCTACATATTACTGCTTACTCATAACTGTAGAGCAGAAAGCCTTCAACAATCAAAATATAAACATTGTCCATATTCTGCGGCAATTCTGTCCCAACAACTGAGCTTGCTGGACTTTTCATCCAATTGTGAATACTCTTCACCATTTCATCCATATAGAGGGCATCAAGTACTAAATGAAAACAGGAAGTTAGGCATCCCTTAAAAAACAGAGAATAAAAATAAATAATAAAAGAACCCTTAAGTATCCGTATGTTAATCAGTAAGAATTAGAAAATCTACATGCAAGTCTAAATGAAAAGGAACAGAATTACCCCAAAAATTCTCTCGTGCACATAAGCAGTCCCATATTTGCAACTAACCGTCAGTTTTGCTAAAGCCTTCGTCAGAACTGGAGTATTTCTGATGGGTGTATTCTGTCTAAACTCTGTGGAATGAATAATCATTTCAGAGCCTTTCTCTTGATAACAGAAACTGTTCTGTTCCACAAACTTGTAAAAACTTATTTAATCCAAGGCCTCCTGTCCTTCTGTCAGTTGTCACTGCCATAGGCAAAGGGAGTGGGCACTCTAAATTTTTTACCTTGGGTTTTTATTGGGTTCATTGTAACTTTTATCGGGTTATTTGGAAGGTGGGAATGGATGGATTCAAAGGAGAGTGGCATACAAAGCAAAACACCATAATGTAGCACCTGTTTTTGTCTGTAGATAAACATATTTAGTACATACTGAATGGTAGTGAAGGCAGCTTTCGGATAACGTAAGATCAAACCCATTTTAGAGGAGATTTTAAGATCAGCATTAGACCCAGATATTTGAACCAGAATGCCAGATGTATCCCTCCAGTTTCATGAAGTCTTTAAGTCTAGCTGAAAATTGCATAGCTGGTAAGAGTTGGGGTTTAGATATAATTTAGGCTCTGGCCAACGTTCTGAGTAATACATTTTGCAGTCACCAAGTATCAACAGAGATTAGCTAATAAGCAACTGTTCACAACTAGATATGACCTGAACCAAAGCGCTGGTCTAAAGCAGATCTGGATCTTTAAGTTTATAAGACTGAATAGGCCCACTGAGCCAGCATTAACCATGAACTTCAAAACATTTGGTCTCTATGTGAGATCTGACATGAAATAAAGTTGTCAAGAACAGACTCAGGTTTTAACTGATTTGAAATATGACAATTCAGAGAGTCATAATGGTGATATCCCATGAGTTCATTATCAAAGTGAAAAAACCAAATCCATCATTACATAGAAAGTTAAGAGGTTAGGCTTATGCCAGTGTGGCAAGCCAAAACTTTTAAGTGAACAATGCCATTGGGTACTGCACCAGATGCAATGTAGAAAGAGAGGAAAAGACTGTAAAGAAAGGAGAGGTCAAGCACTAGCATCAGCTGTTTTCTAGTTCAGCAAGTTTTCTTAATTTATCTCAGTGAGGTGAAAGAATTTAAGCAAAGGATTGCTCCAGATCTACCATTTGTTTACTGCCTTGCTCAGATGGGAAAGCATTGAAGCTCAGCACAGCAGAATCGCAATACAATGTTCAAAAGCAATGCATCAAAGTTACTAACCATCATATAGCTTAAATCCGCGTTCATCTGCTTCTACTTCAGACTCTGGCTGAAGGGAAAAAAAAATACTTTCAAGGCTGATTTTATACTCCCTGTCACAGATATATACTCCTCTGTTACAAACATAAGGGTTGTACACTTTTGTACTTCAATCAATTAACTTTATCTTCAAAATTAAACTGCTGTATGCAACTGTTAGAACACAATATATAATACTTTATTAAATCTAGAACAACAAATTCTCCAGATCATACTTGTGATTTACATGAGAAATAAGATGTCCTTCACCATTCTTAACAAACAACTCCAACATCAATGCAACAGGTGTCTTTTGGTTTTAATTTGGGAGACAAATAACCACATATTGCTGTATGGGTATAGAGTTAAAAGTATCATTAACTTCATTAGCACTAAGTATCTTGAAAAATGCATTGAACATACACCTCTTCCTTATTTTAAAAGGGTATCAAAGAAGACAGAAAACTTTTTGCTGAGTATAACCAGCGCGTTTGGCTACTGAAAGTTCAATTACCCTAGTGCTCATTTTATTTCTCCTTCTCATGAATTTAACATTATTTTAAGCAGTATCCATTTTAAAAGTTTATCAATAGGACAACTGAAAAGAGAAAAAAATTGCAGTGAAAATCTACTTGAGCCTACTTCTACCCATCAGGTCTTTCCATCAATACTGTTACCTTAAAGAAGTCATCCTGAGAGATTATATCACAGTTGGGAAGCATTTTCTTAAGCTTTTCTGCCAATGTTGTCTTCCCTCCATTTGTTACACTGTGTTAGAAAACACAGTAAAAAATTCGTAAAGACAAAAATCAGTCTTTTAAACATATATACAAGCTCACACTCACATATCTATATAGTTAGACACAAAGACATAATCCAAAGCCCCCCAGAAGTTTATTTACTTTCAATAGTTTCTATCTCTTAGAAATTTTCTGGCAGGTTCCAACAGTTTTCAGACAGTAAATCTAGCAGTGCCAAGAAAGTGAGTAGAGAGAGGTGGTACACAAGATCTCCAGCAGAGACAGAAAAACTTCTTGAGTTACACAACATGGAACGAGACAATTATATGTTGTATGTGTAATTCATTTCAAAAAAATAGCCATTCAGAAATAAAAATCATATCACTGCATTCTGAAAGGAAGACTAGTCTTGAGCTGTAGAGGAAATTTGCTAATACTTACCCTCCAAGGCCAATAACCAATGTTTTCATAGTTTGTTTTCTCCTCAGTTCTTCCTTTCAACTGTCAGAAACAGTACCCAGTAAAAACTCTTAATTCATCAAGAAGGGAAGCACTGACTTATTAAGAAATACCGGTTAAATAAGACTTACTTTTTGTCCTTTTATAGATTTTTTTCTCTTTTGCAAAGCTACTGTCATAATCGCAAGCACTTGTTCTAATGCTAATAAAAAAACCCGCAACATATGTGCCACATCACAGATGTCAATGCATTTTACCTGAGATATTATTTTAATAATTTGGGAGAAACTCTGAGAGACTCAGTTCTACTAATATCAACACCACAAAAGTCCCTAAAAAAAAAGTACAATCACTATCTTAAGCATTAATAGTATAAAAAAAATAGGTAAAGAGAAGCTATGTGTCAAAACAAACAAAACCCTTAAAAAAGAAACAAGTGACATGCTGATAAGAAAGATCTTTTAAAAATTTCCATAAGGATTATATCAAAAAGCATATTCAAGGACTGTTTGATGAATTTGGTCTCCACAGTGTAAGAATACACCACTCTCTCATGAGAGTTAATGGCATAGACCATACAAGTGCTCCTCCTCTGCTGCACCACAGAAGAATCTGGAGTCATTACAACTACCATAAATGCAGTCTGTGCAGTCCTAACTGACTTAGCACTAAAAAGGTCCAGGCAGCACTTGATCTTCTCCAGAAAACATCAAAGACTGGAACTCTGAAAAAGGTTAGATTTGTCTAGCTGTATCTCTGCTGCTGAAACCAACTATGAGGCTCTTTCTGGCTGCACATCATCAGCCATCAGAGCTGCCAGAAGATGCAATTCTTTTTCTGACTTGTTTCGTGGGGCTTTTTTCTGGAACAGGTATTTTCAGAGTCCTGTAGTGAACTACACTGTAAAAGTGCTCCAGCTGAATCACAGTTCTGCAATGGAGGAGGAAGGGGAAGAGTGTTAGTTTTCAACTGGAAAAATTGCGTGCAGTTTACGGTCCAGTTACCTATGTCTGCAAAGGCATGGTGTAGCAGAAGGATGGGTAGTAATGCAGCTGCTCTTGGCAACAGCACTAATCTACACGGTTTGCCAAGCCAGTTTAACATTTGTCAAATATTGCTTTCCGCGAGCACACACCAGTCAATTACTATTTAACCACAGGCAAACATGCTGGTTTTCACCTGATCTGTCCAAGAGGTCATACTTTAGGAGGTAAGGCTTTTAATACTTAAGACCTGAAAGGATTCAGCAAGTAACATCATCTCCCCTCCCTGACAAACAAGCACCTGTACTATATTAGAAAAAAAACACACAAAACCCCCCAGTTACAGGACATCAGTATGAAAGTAAAATGACACTATGTCTGTGAAAGTAAGTTTTAGACATTCAGACAGAGTCTGAAATAATAATATTCTTTTGCATTTGGTGCAATGACAGGGAGTTGAGCTGTTTCACAGGTCTGTGATGTGATCTTTGCATGGTTGCTTTATATGGTTTTTTTTTCCTTTAAAAAATACAAAACAAATAAACAAACAAAAAACCCGAACCAGCAAACAAAAGAAGGACATCCTTACTAGCCCAAGTCAGCACCAGTACAACAGCCATTGCTCTGCAATGGTGCTGCATATCTACACTAGTTGTTACCAGTAAGTTTTAAAAAGTTACCATGCAAGCGTTTTCTAAAAGTATCATAATTATCAAGATCAGTGGTGCACCACATGTTTATGGTATTGGCAGTCTATTCAAAGAGTGCAATCGGATGATCTATTTTCAGAAAGTGAGACCATTAAAAAAACCGAAAAAGCTCTTTTAAAAAAGTCATCAGTAAAGTTTGTATTCCAGAGGATTACCCTTTGTCCCACAAAAAATGCTATGTAACAAACTAAATAATATCTGGAACCACATGCCGAGCTTTGGGCTCTAATTTACGTCACTGTCTTTACGAAAGTTAATCCTCGCTTAAAGCAAAAAAACCCTGTGATGAAAATCCCACGAACTCTTCCCCCCTGCCAAGTGATGTACCGCACAAAGAGCAGAGGCAAGGTTGTAACCGATGTTGCAACACAGAACCCCTAAACTACTCTGCCTCGGCTCGGTTTAGCATCTTTAAACGGCACGGAAACCCGTGAAAACGCTAACACAGAACTGCTACTACCCTGCTTTAAACGGCATAGAGTGACAGAGCTGCGGCACGCCTTAGCAGGCAGAGCGCGCCTCCTTCCCGGCAGCAGCAGAGCCGGGTAACGGAATGGCTCCGGCGGGCTCCAGAGCCGCTCTCGG